CAGAAGGTCATCATTATGAAAAACGAACTTCAATCAATGATGATCAAAACAATCAATGATGATCTCGCCTTTCGAGTCAATTCTAAACAGTCATGTGAATGCATTTTACTGCGTCATTCATCAGTCTATATAGAACTATGCCTGAAACCCCTATAACGTTTTAGTATTCGAAAATGAGCATCCATTTCGATCTCCAAAAGACAAGATTGATAGCGGGGAGATGGATAGGAATGTGTCAGAGTCGAAGAAGGGAGGCAAGACAATAAAAAATACTACTTATTAAAATTTTGGACTTTTTTCATCCATCACGATATTAGATATTAATAATTACATCCACTTACTTTACAATCGCTAACTTCTTCACATGTCACTAGTGGAAAACAAAGCAACAAAACTATTACAAACGTTTCTTTGGGGAGGGAGGGGAGGGGAGAAGAAAAGAAAGTGCGTCAAATGCGCATGACGTAAGGATCTGTTCAGACGTCGATCCTTTGTCGAGTGGAGTCCAATTGTTGGATTTAAGATTATGAGCATTTCATATTCTACATTTATTGACATTTGATAGATTTTGTTAAGTTGGGAGAACACAATATCCATAAATATCAATTGATTTAGACGTCAAACTTCTCGTGAACTACACAAGCAACTGAATAAGACTTTGCAAAAATCGACGTCTGAACCGGGCCTAAGCAAGAATCAATTGTAAAAGTTCTAATGTATATACTCACCAATAATTTTTCCTCTACTTTTGTTGAACTGTTTGTTTCTAAAATCAGAAAAGACGTCACTACATCGCATTATAAAAATACCCAAGTATTGCGCTCTACAGCCAACTTCATAAGAGCACTTCCCTAGATGATAACATTGAAAAATCTGCCGTTTCCTGGGCTAAAACCGAGATGTCAATCAGGGCGATACATGCTCGATGTAAACATTCACATTTAGACGAGTTTAGAGCTAAACAGAGATTCTATCAAAATTCAAATGATAGCTTACTGCAAAGATTTCTCTAGTTTGCCTCCATTTTCTCCAACTATTGATCCTAAAGTACATTCYGCTTCGCCAATAAAATCCTGTGAAATGAAATTCAACAGCAATCATTCAGTAGAATCGGAATTATTCAAAATAATATTGATGGTCAAATGAATGATATCATGGGATCCCTGTGGCATGAAGATGATTCAACTGTCCTAACTTCCCTTCAAGGGGGTATTTAAGATTTCAAATATAAACGTGCACATTTTTTAACTGT